CATGTCCTAATCAAATACATCTTATTATAAATGTCATTGATGTCATCGATTTATTTTTATAGAGATCTATATTCGTCAAATCTTACACTTTGGATCTTAACAGCAAATATATTATTATAATTTTATAACATGTTTAAATTTTCATTTTATGTAATTTCCTTTTTTAACATTGAAAAGTATAGGTAGAAGATTTCTATTTTTTGTAATATTCTATAACTATCTTTACAAAGTAAACATGTGTATATATATTTTTTTTTTGGAAAGTTTGTGCATATAAACTTTAACATTGAGATTTTCATATTCTTTCTAATTTTTTGTTTTTCAATTTCTAAAATTCCTTTTGTTTTATCATTTATATTTAATTAAAATTTCTATTTCCTCTATCTTTTTTGTTTTTTTTATATTTTATAGTCTCTCTGTTTTCTTTCCTAATTTTTTTTTATAATTTGTTTAAACTATTATATTTTTTTTTCTAACTATTTGAGATAATTAGAATTTTTCTTTTTACTATTAGTTTAGTTGTTTGACAATTATTTTGTTCGTTTTCCATTTTTAATTTATATTTCCTTAATTAATTTTAAGTTTTAACACATATCATCATCTGATCAATATTGGATACATGTCACGATCTACTGAGTTATAATTTTTTTTAATGTTAAATTCATCGATAATATTTTTCTTACTTATTTTTTTCTCTCTAATTTTTTTATAGTTTACACTTTTTGTATTTTGTTTATTAATTTAGTTTCATAATTAGTTCAAACTATTATATTATTTTTTAATGTAGCTAGTGTGGAGTATTAGAAATTTTCAATTTCTCATCATTAGTTTGAACAATGATTTTTTTTTCTACTTTACTATTTGGTTAGAGACTTGACAATTATTTTATTTGTTTTTCATTTTTTTCATAAATTTTTAACTAATTTTACGTTAACACATGTCATCATCTGATCAACAGTAGACACATGTCACGATATGACGAATTAGAATTTTGGTTACGTGTCATGTTCTTATCGTGCGCATTCTCCTTTATATAATAAGATTTAACTTTTTGTCACCGTAAAGTAACAAGATGATTTAAGATAAATTATATAATTTTAACAGTTACATATTTTTACATGCTAATATTTAAAAAGTTAATATTCAACTTTTACATTTAAAAAAATAAATCATTGTTCTCTAAATAAAAAAGGTTAGACAATAGTAAATCATTCAATAAGTGAAATTGATCTCTAAAAATTATATTTTCCTAATTATCTTATATAAATAAAAAAATCTTTTAAGTTTTAAGAGACGTTAACCATAAGAAAAATATAAAACGACAAACATTTGAAAAAAAAAAAAACGTAAAATACTTAGTTTATGTTGTACGAAAAATTTATTAATTCTTTTTTTGTTTACGAACCCTAACCACTTGGGGGGTTTTTTTTTTGCAGAAAATCATTAGGTTAACTATGTTGTATTAGGGTTTAGTTTAAAAGGTTTAAGAGGTTTTAAGGGTCAAAACATTTTTAGGGTTTATAATTTTAAAATTTAGGCTTTAAAAATCCATAATTAGTGAAATTTTTGCAAATATACACCTATAAATGATTTTTTTAGAAATGTACATCTCAAAAGTGGCATTTTTGCAATTGTCCCAATAATAAAATGATAAAACTAAACTGATGAAAATTCATATTATTAACAAAATATACATTGCTGACAAAAAAAATTAACAACAAAAATATTAATAACAATATCTATAATAAAAATCAAACAAATACCTATTTTCACATTTTCTAAGTATAAAATTAAAAACAAGATTATAAATAAATTATTCGTGTGTACTTGGATGAATCACCTAGTAATCAATAAAACAAATATTATTAGAAGAATAAAAAGAAAAAAATATTAGATAATGTATAATGAGATAATATATTGATCGATGTGAGATTGAAATTTGGACGGTTATTGTGAT